AAATTTATTAAAATTTGTTTAAGCCATAATATTGTTCCTCCACATTTAAAATTTATTTTGTCAACGCGGATGTTGTTGCGTACATTTCCAACGAAAATTAAGTTTTCGTTGGAAATAAACAGTGCACAAGGCACGCATTCTCGGTATACTACCAAAACTTAAAATTTGAAAATAATCTCATACTTAAGATTTAATTTCCAATAATCTCATACTTGAGATTTAATTTCAAAAACCCTCTATCCTCCTACAGAAATAAATAAATAAATGCGAGAGAAAACTATAGATCCGAAAGTCGTTGAATCGGGAATCGAACCCGAGACCTTTCGCTTGCCGGGCGACTGCTCTTCTAACTGACAATGAGCTATTTAGACCCTTCAATTCTATTGTATATCTTTTTCTGCTTATATATATACTCTAAATAACGCCTTTTCGGCCGGCGTGTATAAACAACTAAGATTAAATCACGACTCTGTATATTAAATATAAATTACAAATAAGAAGACCTAAAGGAGCCGTACACGGATGTTACTACGTACATTTCTAACAAAAATTAAGTTTTTGTTGGAAATAACATTCTTAATATTAACAACAAAAAGTGATCCGATTGCCAGTTAAAATTTTGAAATAAAGATAAAAAGGAATTGATTGACCGACACTGGCTAAGGTGAAAAATCTTTTATTAAAAAAGACGCAACGTTTCGACCCCGAATTGGATCCTCTTCAGGCTACAAAAATTAAATTATACATCTCAGTTAAAAACACATAAAAATACCAGTAAAAATCGGATACAGAAAATCATACATATAATAAAGTGTTAAACAATACCTGTTAATTTAAAGTACATGGTAAACTAAATGATCATAGTGTCTGTTTATTGTAACCAATCAGAATATGACAAAGTAATAAAAGAACAGCAGTGTTCATTTTGACATATAACTTTACATTAAACCGACACACAGACAAGCTCTCGAATAAATAAATCACAATTAAAAAGAAAAATAGAAAAATAGAAGTCAACCGAATAAAATAAAATTAAATAAACAAAATATATAAACATAGGGACGCTTCTAAAACACTTCATAAATGATAAAAATAAATTATACATAAACTCTACTTAAATAAAAACAGAAATAAAATAAAATAGGAGAGATTAAAATTAATAAAAATACCGATATCTAAAATAAATTCAAAATAGTATCGTACATATCATTTAAGTTTTCAGTGTCCCTTTGCAAATTAATGGAATTCTTTTGTTTTTTGATCTCGCTTATCTCTCTCTTTTTTACATGTACTTCGTTATGTAAAATGGACACATTTGACCAGTCAAAATCATGGTTAAACAACGTTCTGTGTTTGTTGATAACCAAATGAAAAGTATCATGTTTTTTAATATTCGAGTTATGCTCCTTAATTCGTGTTTCCAAATGACGTTTGGTTTGCCCAACATAACAGGAATCACAATTATTACAAGAAATCTTATATACTACATTTGTTCTTTTACTGATAGGAAGTTTGTTTTTCCTTTTTTAATTAATTTGTCTAATCTATTATTAACAGTAAATAAAACTCTCAGACCACAGCTATTTAATGTTCGTTGAACATAGTCACTCAATCATTTTACAAAAGGAAAAATGACCATGTTGGAAGTGTCAAAAGAATTCTTTTCCCTCTGTGGATAATTATCTTGTGATTTCAGATGTAGCAGCTGCAATCTTTTATTAATAATTGAATCAATTAGACTCATTGGATAACAGTTGTTAATAAGAATTTGTTTTACTTACAATATATTTTGCGCATAAAATCTACTGTCAGACAAAATGATGGACCTATCAGTGAGACTAAGAATAGTAATTTTGTATTTGTAAGGATGATTGGAATGAAAATTAACGTATCTTCCCGAAAAGGTGGGTTTTCGATACCAGTTCGTAATTAATCTTTGGTTTTTCCTTATAGTGGACGTATCAAGAAAATTAATACAATCGTTAGATTCAATTTCATAAGAAAACTGCAGTCTAGGATGATATCCATTAAATTGTGTCAAAATATTGTCAATTTCATTTCTCGGAACAATAGCAAATATATCATCAACATATCTACAGTAAACTGACAAAGGAAACGAGAGGGCGTTTAAACAAAAAGTTTCTAAATCATCCATAACCAGATCAGATAAAATAGGAGACAAAGGAGAGCCCATAGGCATTCCAAAAATTTGCTCATAATATTCATTATCAAAAGTGAAGCTTGTAGAATCCATGACTAACTCAAGCGCATATATGAATTGATCTAAAGAGAAGGTCGTATTTTGAGAAATGTCTTTCCATCTCTCTTTAATCGCTGATATAACCAAGGCTTTAGAAACATTAGTGTATAAGGATTTAACGTCCAGCGATATCATACATTCGCTATCTTTAATGTTAACATCCCTAATGCCCTTAACAAACGCCCAACTATCTTTGACATGTGAGACAGGTTTACTAACCGACCGAGACAGAATGTCGCATAAAAATACTGCTATATTATAAGTAGGACTACCAATCGAGAACACAATAAGTCGTAAAGGACAATCAATTTTATGCACCTTTGGCAAGCCATAAACTCTAGGTAGATTCCCATTATTGCAAACCAAACGTTTACAAGTAATATTGTCAATTATATTGTTATCTTTCCAAGAGCGAACCATAGCGTTAACCTTATTAGTAAATTTTTTAATAGGATTTTTGTTAAGTTTTTTATAAGTTGTGATGTCCTCAAGTGAGTGTGTCATATTCTTAATGTAATCTACTTTATTTAAAACAATCGTGATTTGACCCTTATCTGCTTTCGTGACAAATAAATCTTTGTTTTCTCTGAGGAATCTATCACATTTTTGGTATTGAAACTGAATTATATTATCAATATAATTAGAGTGTTTTTTATTATGTAAGAATTTTTTAATAGAGTTAATAAACCTGTTTCTTACAGATTCTCTAGATTCCTCAGATATCTTGTTACTGTTCGTTTCAAAATTTTTAATGTGTTCAATAACAACAGAACTACGATCTTTTGAATTTTGACAAGCGAAATTAAGGCCGAATTTGTCACCCAAGCATAAAATGTT